CGCAACGGATTTGTATGTGGGTTTTTTTAGTAGATAGAGTGATTCAGGGAGGAGGTTTATATGTAGATAACATGCATGATATAGTGGAAAAATACTAATAATTTTAGAGGTTTTTAATGTGATGTCGTAAATTAACACACCCTACGAAATAGATCAAAAAAGTACTACAGAATTGTACACTTTAAAAAGGTCTACAAAAAAGTCCGCTATGGTATATGTCTATTTCTTAGGGATAACCCATAATTACCATTTTTCATTAGTGACTTATTTATGAAGCGATTTCATGCAATGTAGCATCATTCCTTATTCAATGAAGTACCTTAAATACATTGTGCATTTAATAGAGGTCAATATGGCCCTTTCCAACATGGGTTTTTCGACATTACAGTTTGGGGTCCGTATATTGCTTGTTTATTATATTATTCCTGAAAACATCGAGTTCTGAGATACGCCATTTTAGAAAATCTTGTTAATTTCATCCTTGATTTGAACAATTGAAATCGAAAGAGAATAATAAAAAATCATCAATAGACCAAACTGATGAAAGTGTTATTTGTGACTACATTTTTGTAGATTCAACTTTTCATGGCCTAACACTTTCAAATCTAGAAGCCTCTATTTGTTGTAGGAGAACCAAACAGACATAAGATATCGTGTGTAAGAGTATATGGACATCCGACAGTTTATAATTGTCTTTTATACTAAACAATTAGTTACTTTCATAAACATTGAACTACGGGCATTTCACATTTCAAAATGACTGAATTTTATATCGTTATCATAAATTTTAACCTCAAATTGGGAATGGCGCTATCTAATGTTCTACATACCTACTGAAATCTAGATATCGAAGATATAATATGGAATACGAAGTATAATGCATGAACAGAATTAAACAGTACGCTATCTAGAACAGTGCAACAAATATATAGGTACAGGGAAATTGAAATACAAATATATATATTTTGGAGAAAGGTTGATTGATTTCAAGATAATTCTATTAGTTGGATATATTTATTGTAAGAAGATATTTTCTTATCTTACGTTTGAAGCTTCCTAATGGCAGAGGTTTATATTCAATGGGTATCCGATTATATGAGTAGGCAATATGATAAGTGAAAGATCCGCGAAATAGAGAAGTTTTATGCTGTGGTATTGTTAAGTGTATCCTGAATCTCAAGTTGAGATGGTGTACGTCAGTTCTAAAAGATATTTTTTCGAAAAGATAGAAGGGTTTTTTGTTTTAAGGAGTTTTTAAAAAAATGTTGCAGAATGAAATGCTCGTCTGGATTCCATATCCAACCAACCCACATCCCCGAACAGATGAGAAATGTGTTCTCGTTTCCTCTTAGCCGTAATGAGCCTAATGCATGCATTCTGGAGTTTTTGGATTCTAAAACTGTCACTCTTCAAAATTCCCGGACCATACACCACGTCTGCGTAGTTGGCATGTGAAAGAACTAAAGCATCGCAGAGTATAATTTTACTTTTTATATTCAGAAATGCTCTGTTGGAATATATTACTTTCAAATTTGCGTAACCTCGCTTTAGAATTTGCGAAATGTGTGTTTTAAACCGAAGACTGAAACGAAGAAAAGATAAAAGCCCAAGTTTTTTTGTAACTCCTTTCAAGGGAAGTTCTGTTCCATCTATTACAATATTTATGAGGCCAGAACAACGAATTCTTGCCGCTGTTCTACCAAAGAGCATGACATTAGATTTAGATGCATCAACAGATAGAGGCAATATTTAGCTGACAAAGATAATAACATATCGACATCGGTATTCATTTGCCATAGGGCCTCGTTAATTGAATTCTCGTCGAATTCTATGTACAGCTGAGTATCGTCGGCATAACAATGCATGGTTGCGAATTGCAGTGACCTATTAAATTGAGATGTGTATAAAACGAACAGGAGAGGGCCCAATATTGAACCTTGAGGAACACCGTTTTTAACTGTATTAAATTAGATTTTTCGTTATTATACACAATTCTTTGAAACCGATTCCGAAGGTAACTTTTAAGTAGTGCTACAGCATGTATTGAAAACCCTAGGTATCCCAAAATAGCAAAGAGGAGGTCATGGTGTATGCGATCGAACGCCTTTGAATAGTCCAATAATATCAGAAGACAGAGTTTATTATTATCAATAGATCTGTGCACATCATCCACAACTTTCAGGAGGGCAGTCGTACAACTGTGGTGAAGTCTGAACCCTGATTGACACTCCGGTAATATATCGAAGCCATTCAGATAACCACGCATCTGCAAGTTCAATATTTTTCCAAAAACTTTTGAGAGCGCACATAAGATGCTAATTGGTCGGAGATCGCCTAAATTTTCGGGGTTAGAATTTTTGGCCAACGAAAGAACGTTTGTTTCCTTTCAGATGGATGGATAGGAATTAGTCGATATGCAGTGATTGAATAAGTGAGTGATACGTGGAAGGATTGTGCACAGCAACATTTTAATGCTTATCTCATCAGGTGCTACAGCATTTGACTTCATGTTCAGAATAAAGTTATAGATTTCTTTGTCATCAGTAGCTTTATAGGAGAAGTTGGGATTGTTTATATTATTACTCGAAAAAAAATCCATAATTTCATCATCAGGGGAAGAGTTGCAGTTGGATATACTTCCAAAAAATTTGTTGATATCTTCAACGTTCAATAGGTGGTTTGGAATGGATCTGAGGTTTCTTTTATGGTGAATATTCAAATCGGATAAATCTTTCCATATCTGCTTACTTCTTGTAAGCCTATGATTGAGATATGCTTTTTTCTCCAGGTTCACAGTACGATTGGTTAAATTCCTCAACTGTTTGTAATAATCCCAGTGTTGCTGTAACTTTGTGTTTCTAAATCTCGCAAGAGCTCTATCTCTTAGTTTAAACATGAGTTTCAGATTGTCTGTGAGCCAAGGGGCCCTTTTCTTGGAAATTTTAACAGTTTTAATAGGAGAATGTTTTTCAAAAAGACCGGTTATTATCCCATTGAAAAGAGCTAATTTGTCATTGATATTTTCAATGTAGTGAAGAGAACTGAATTCCTGTAGATCTAATAAAAAAAGATCTAAATTAAATTTGCTCAAGTCTCTATAGGTGTGCATGAAACTCTTATCTACTATTTTGACTAAGCCCACCTTGCAAAACACTAAAAAATGATCAGAAAATGAACTACAGTCGATCGAAGTATAGTCGGATATAGTTAATAATTCTGAACAGATCAAAACGTCTAATATTTCCCAACCTGCCGAAGAGTACCTTAGCTCAATTGAGTACCTGAATTTTGTTTACTTCTGACAATGTGGATACGTTAATTTGAAACCTGGTGAGTAAACTAATTCGCAATGTTTATGCTTATAAATTTCCACGGATTTCAAATAATTGAGTTTTCAACCCTTCCTTGCATAGTGCAAAATTTTCGTGTCGCTTAGAATCGGGAATTTGTGGTTGCATCCCTAGCAATGGTTTGAAAACGGCGAATTATTTTTACCCAGTCTGAAGGACCTTTCATGTTCAGCATGCCATTTTGAGAAATTTCGACCACATTGTCCCACATAAACACTATTACACTCCGGACATTTAAGCTTATGAAAACCAGATTTCTCAAATTTATCCAGTTTATATTTGGCATTGAAAAGGATATCAGATAACATGGCATGTAATCTAAATGCCATTTACACATTGTTTTTTCGGAAGAACCTCGCATTTATCTCTGTTTTTTTATCAAAATTTGTTCTGGGTGTATATTAATCTGTAAGTGAATTTACGACTTTGTTTTCTGGATTGTGTCTGCGTTGGAACCATTATTATGGCCTATCTGTGTAGTTATTTTAATTTCCCTGCATAGATTGTTAGCAGACATTCTCTGTGTAACATTGAATTGTAGGCTGCTGACTTATGACTGTCTGTTAATTTATAGCAGCCTACAATTCAATTTTACACAGAGCATTCTCGCTACTTTGTCTGCTCACCATCTAGATAGGGAAATTGAAATAATTACACAGATAGGCCATAATAATGGTTTCAACGCAGACACAATCCAGAAGTTAGTCAGAAAACAAAGCCATAAATGCACTTACAGATTAATATACCCCCAGATCAAACAATCAGAAATCAAGAAATGGGCAACTCTAACAAATTTTGCTTAAAGAACAGAGATGATTGCGGGTTTCTTTCGAAAATGTGGAACTGGCAATCAGACCACGTGCCAGGTTATCTGATTTTCGTTTCAATGCCAAAGATAAAGTGGACAAGTTGGAGAAATCTGAAGTTTATAATCTTAAGTGTCCGGAGTGTAATAGTGTTTATGTGATACAATGTGGTCGAACTTTCCAAAAACGGTATTCTGAATATGAAAGGTCCTTCAGTCTTGGTAAAAATGATTCGACGTTTTCAAACCATTTCTTGGGATGCAACCACAAGTTTTCGAATCTAAACGACAAGGAAATTTTGCACTATGCAAGGAAGGGTTGAGAACTCAATTATTTGGAATCCTTGGAAATTCATAAGCATAAAAATTGCGGGTGCAACCTGTTGAATGATTAAATCGATCTAGTTTACCCACCGGTTTTTAAATTAGCGTATCCACATTGTCACAAGTAAACAAAATTCAGGTACTCAATTAAGATAAGTACCTCTGGTATTACCTACAGTGATGTTATAAATGGGCTAATGGAATTATTCATTTTTAGTTCAATGTATAAGTTTTAAAATGTCCTTATAGGACGAAACTGCTGTAACGTTAGTTACAAATAACAGTGGTAAAAACATAGAAAGTTTCAATTCTCATTTTTCATGATGATTTCCCACCACATAGTAACGGCTACATCCATCAATTTATTGAAAATTCATTTCATTTCCACTATTTTGTCGACCTATTTCGTACGCACAAATTGATGACTCATATGTGAAGATACATTGACTGTAGTGTAGATATATTTTATTCACATATAAGTTTACAAATCTGTTAAAAACATATGTTTAATAGTTACTTACCTACTAACAAATGAGTTAGGAGGAAACTGCCATAATAATTTATCTGATAAATGGAATTCAAACCGTCCTCCGTCAACATATCTGCCATATTCCCTACACCGGCATTATTGATGAGGATATCTACTTTCTCTTCTGATTCTTTCAATCGTTCAGCTAATTTCCTCACAGAGTTCAGTGATGCCAAATCCACAAATTCTAGATATATTTGGGGGTTCCGAGATTCACTGACCAATCTTTCTCTAATATCGTCACTAACATTTTTGTCCGCGATTATAACTTTGCATCCCCTACATGCTAGGTCTAGAGCAGTTTGGAACCCTATTCCTGAAAAAAATCTTGATATTAATCATACGTTTTTTAGATATATTCCATGAAAATTATGTTTTCTGGGTTATAAAGACCAAGTGAGTTTTGCAGTCGGTGATATATCATCCTTGTGGTTAATAAACAAATTTCCAACACCACAAAATTATCCACAGTTTCACGATTGAAATGTAGAAAAACTCAATCTAATGCAACACATGTTTCGCCATACAATGGCTTCTTCGTGCGTGTCTTTACTAGTCTTCACCGAAGAAGCCATTATTTAGCGAAATACGTGTTACGTTTCTGGAAAAGTGTTCGGTGAAAATCTCACAATAAAAGTTTTTTTAAATACGTTAGTTATGTATTTCCATCAAGTATCGGCAAATTCCATTATAAAACTCAATCTTAGTATCAAGTTGAATTCTACCACAAAAGTAGTAATGATTTACTTCAAGTTATCGACGCCACTGTGTCGATAGGTACATACGTTATGTGTGAATAAGGGATATCTAGAATATTCTAAATAACCTACATTCAGTGTGTCTAAGATATTTTATTACTGAAACCCAGGGTGATTCTACTAATTTTGTTCAATCGTTTGATTCTTTATCTATTGATTATTTTGAATTGAAAGGGGTATATTTCTATGAGAGATACATTTTTGGCAAATGAGAGAAATCTGATTGCCTTTCTAATGAAAAACACTTTTCGAATAGTCCAAATCTAGAGCATTATTTATTGATGCGCTTTTCGCTAAATCCGTTATCATCATCAATAGGTGACGAAAACTAATTCATTACACGTAATCACTGTAATTACCCCATTTTCCTCGGTGATGAGGGATGGGATGGATTCTCAGTACCAATTTTTATTTTAATAATGGTAACATTCTTCATTATCAGCCATTACATGCTTGGAAACAGTATGACTTTGGACTACAGACTTATGAGGATAATTAAGGGCAAATTTCAACTCGGAAGCAGAAGTCCAAAAATACCGTCATATACAAAAAAAACGAATAAACGAGACTAACTATAATTATATACACTCCAATACAAATATTATCCATATTCCATAACTTTTGATTCAGCAGGTAATTTTAAACGAGAATTATGAGATCGGATGGAAAGATGTTATACATTTTGCAAATTCGATAACTTCAAGATCTCCTGAAGTATTCGCTTTTGAAAGAGAGCGATGACAATATTCCCCTAAATCTTACATTAAAATCCGTACGAAAGGTTATTTTTCGATGAAAATGACACACAATGTAAAGTTCTTCTATTTATGTAGAGCCAACTTACTTCGTGCCTTTTAGGAGAAGTAGCGAACCGCCCGGCTCCGCACGGGTGTAATGTACACAAATTTCACAGTTTTTTTGCCAGTAGACATTACAAAAATGTTTTTTATAGTTTACTCTTGAAAGAGCGGTACCGTTGCAACTGTAATGTCCCTGTATTATTAAAGATAATTTCATAAATGCTGCTTTTTTCCTCGCGGCTGGCGCCCCAGTTGGAATATTTGAAAATCATTATTTATTGTACATAAACAATATAAAACGAACCTACATACAAAATTTCAGTCTCCGAAAATATATCGGTATGGAAAGACAGTAATAAAAAGGTACTTTACAGTGCCCTTTTATCCCCACGGGGGCGCCCCAGTTGGAATATTCAAAAATCCTTTCTTAATGCCCATCTAAGAGCTAGGGAGCACCTATATATCAAATTTATGGAGAAACAGAGATTTATAAGCATTTATAAGTATAGATTCTTTCGCGTCTTTGGTGTGAAATTTGCACTTTTTAAATTTTTTGTTTGAAATGATTAGTTATACCTATTAGGTCTATGTAGTTGAAGTTCGACAACACAAAACTTCTACAAAGTTAACTTTGAGATTTGACGGTAGAAAATGCCGCATTCTATATATTATACGCATGGAGAATTGAGCTCTTTGTAACAATGTAAATACGCCTTGAACTTTGACTTCCTCAACAATTTCTATGGTTTCATCACTAACAACTATATTCATTATGATAAGGACATCACTGCGTTTATTTTTAGTTCCAAAGAGATAGCTTTCGCTTCTAAGGAATTAATAATCGAGCGGTAATCTGAAGTATTCTTGATAAATATATCCAGTTCTCTATTAATTATACTACAAGCGGTATCAGTTTCTGAAGTGGGAAAAGAGAAATGCATCTCTGAGTATCATCTGCATAAGTAAATGTTACATTGTTGTAGAATTGTGATGAGATTAGATGTATATACCGCGAACAACAGTAGTTCAAGAGTTGATCCTTGAGGAACTCTATATTTCAAAAATAAATAATAAAATCGCGTTTAATCACTTTTTACACTTTGGGATGTATCCTTAAGATAATTTTCAATTAACTTCACAGCATCTGGTAACATACCCAAATAGTTCAATTTGAACAATAATAAAGAGTGATTGGAAGTATCAAATACTGAAAGTACAGTACAGATCTTTATATTCTACAGGATTCAATTTCTTTTGTAGTATTTTCACGATCTCCTCATCTTATGACGTTGGAAAAATGGAATTCAAGTATGCTGATAGTGGTAGTATATTCGATTATATGTTTGAAAATGAGTTTGAAATGCAGCTTCAGTTTCAATATTCGTAATAGTTTCCGCAACAAAGAAATCATTGATCTTTGATCATCCCGAAATAAAACTCAGAGGCACCGACTTTGTTTTTTTTTAAATTCAGTTGTGGTTTAGGTGGATCCGAGTACGGTTAGTTAGTTATTGTATATTCATTCTTGATTGTTTTCTTAGTTAATATTTGTTGTGCTGCATAATAGTTCATATCTAATCCATCTAGAGGAAATTCGATGGCAACATTTACCGTGCCTCTAAATCTTTCTGTTAGAGAGAATCTTATGAAATGAATGACTAAAATACGGGGAAACTTATGGATCGATAGAGACTTTGTGCATTTTCTTCTTTCCTTGCAACACGAACACGTCGATTTTTCATGACCATCCAAAGTTTCCTCTCTTGTGAAGAAATCCAAGCATTGTGATAAACTCAATTGGCCAGTTCTTTGTGGTATGGGGAGTGACAAATCCCAGAAAGGAACGAATGTTACAGATGAGTGTTCATAGTGTGTGCACTTCATTGTAGATTTTAATTGACCAACGAAATTATCTACAATCTAAGAGTTATATGTACTCAAATAAATCAGCCATGACGCTTGTGTTATTCCGCTGTCGCTCAATTTTTCGTTAATCTCAGTTGAGGTCGGTTTAGGTTTCTCAATAATTCTTTCAACGTCATTATGTAAACCTTCTAAAAGATAACGAAGGAACTCCTGGGCGTCTTGATGCGCATGACCCATGAATCGAGGGGCAAAACTCTCAATCTGACTTTTTGAGGACACTGTGTTCACTGCTCTATCAGGTGAATCTTCTGACCACAATTCCTTGATAAGTTCTGCAAAAGCTTTGATTAAAGCACCCTCCATACTAGAAATATTAGTATTGATATATTCCATGTACTCATCCTTTTTCAAATATTCCAGTAACCATCTCGTATTTGATAAACATTGGATTACACTGTTCATAACAGATGTTGTCAATATTTTTCAACCCAATAAGCCCAAGGGTTTTGACTGAGAAATGTATCATTGATTTAATTGTGTTGTAGCTGTTGGTGATACGCTCGCCACCACTGTTTTCAGTCCAGCAATTACGGTTGCGATGGTTCTCCCCATCATTGGACCAACGGAATAAGGAATTTGAAGCTAAATTGCTTGAAAATGAATTAGATATATTCATGGTGGTTTTTCAGAATTTGTTTTGAATGAGATTTTTAACGATGTTCATAGGTCTCATTTTCATTTTTCGATATCTCAACTTTCAGGAGAGTCTAAAAGCCTGTTGTCATGTATCGGTTTCAACGAAACTGAATATTTGGAGTACGAAACTGAATATGTAAAACTTGTTCTTTGAACTGAGTTATTATCATATAGTCCATGAACTATGAAACAGTGACAAACAGCGATAAAAGTCGATTACTTTTTTACGTAATGATTACTGGTGCCAACTAGAAAATTATTATGTATCATAATAATTAGTCGTTGATATAACGATTATATCGCGATATAATAGTAAACTAAATCAAAGGTGATAATTTGTACAGATTTTAAAATGATTCAACTTTAGTGTGACGTATTAGTTTTAAACAACTTCTCATGATTTGTGATGCAATTGGCCTATACTTGATGAATATACGATACTTGATAGCGTCATCAAGTAACACTGTAATAGTGAGATTTTCACTGAACAGTTTACAAAGCCGCTACAGTTGTTTACTGTACAATAGCTTCCTGACGCGTCTAAAAAAAATCTGTTTTTCCGTTAATCAGCTGTCGCACTCCTACGAACGACAACCCTCAGAAGTCGAAACTTGTGCGAGCTAAGGATTAAGGTGATCATAATAAATTGATTCTTCCTAATTAGTGCTTTATATACTTACATATATACAACCTACCTACATTATGATATTGATTGAACATTATGAAAGGATGGACTCTTCGTATAGACATGTAGTGAACTAATTATCATACACAATCTGGATAATAAAAAAATTGAGTCAATACAGAATCTGCTGGAGTGTAATAATTTGACATGTCAGGAGAAATACAGCTTTTCACAATTGAGGCGGAAGTTTTCAAGTGAATTTGGTGTTTTGAAAACGGACAGGGATTGTATTCCGAAATGACGACCACTAAAAAATTTAAGTATAGGAAATGTGTGTACCACATGGAATACCTTGTGAACATCAATTTTAACAGTTGATTCAACTATGCTATCATCTGAATACTTCAAAGTATTCATTTGTTGAATGTAAAATGGCTTTTTTTCCTACGTTCTGAATAATAGACTGTGAAATTTTGTTATTTCTTTGAAATCAAATTGTGGATGACCGGAATAGTACTCGTATATTTACCTTTTCTTCATGGAAGTATTTTCCAGAAGCTTGACATTCATC